GCGACAGCCTGGAAAACACACACACACACACACACACACACACACACACACATTCTTGAGCTTGTATTTGTACATAATGGGTACTCTGTCTCTTTACAAAAGAGCTTATTTTGAGGTTGAGAGTCTTGATTGATCATTGCCATTCATCTTGCCTTTCGTCTTATGTTCGTATTAGCGGCTTTCAACTGACACAAGATCAGTTCTAGCTGTGCAATCAGTTAAATCAACAACATTTTTCCTTTGATGTAAGTGCATTGGCCCATCAGACAGCTGGTCTCACTAGGTAAAGAACTAAATGCAAAGTTATTTTTGTAAACACTGCTTAAAGATGATAGATACTCACTACACTTTCATTTGTACAGTATTTGCAAGTGTGTTTCTGTCACAAACATTCATTGCCAAAGAAGCTGGCTGTTCACAGAGTGCTGTATCCAAGCATGTTAACAGAAAGTTGAGTGTCAGGAAAAATTGTGGAAGAAAAAGATGCACAACCAACCGAGAGAACCGCAGCCTTATGAGGATTGTCAAGCACAATCGATTCAAGAATTTGAGTGAACTTCACAAGGAATGGACTGACGCTGGGGTCAAGGCATCAAGAGCCACCACACGCAGATGAGCTGAAGGCCACTGTCAAAGAAACCTGGGCTTCCATACCACCCCAGCAGTGCCACAAACTGATCACCTCCATGCCACGCCGAATTCTAAGGAATCTAAGCTAACACTAGAGAGAGGTGGAATTCAATACCAGCCTGGGCATCCTTGGGTAGGTGGCGCCGCTCCTCCCAGAATTATGTTGCACCCAGTCATGATGGTCCGCCAGCCCCCCTGGCGTTTCTTCCTATCCGGCTTGCGGGTCTCTTTGGTGGATGATGTTGTTGATGCTGATGAACGGGGATGAGGTGGATGATGAGGTGGTTTGTTGCTAGGGTTGATGACAGCACACTTCTTGGCCTCCACACCACACGACTTGCAGCTCTCGACAAACCTCCAGACGTCGCTGCGGACCGAAGGCCACCTGGCAACTCCCAGGATCTGCAGTAGGGTCTTTAGACGTCCATGGTGTTTCTCTGCTGTCCTCTGGTGGAAGTGCTGTACCATCTGCTGGACCAGCTTCTTAGGGACGACAAGCTGGATTTTGTAGATGTCGTCCCCCTTCTGGATCCGCCGGTACAACCAGCCCTGGTGTTCCCGCACTTTGATCCTGCTGGTCGGTGGAGTGGAGGAAGAGATGGAAAGTCCCTGGAGAGTGCCGTCATCACCCTGTGCGCAGCTGCGTCACACGGATACGCTGTTTTCGTTCAGATCAAATCACAACAACGTAGGAAACAGATCAAGCGTGACGCAGCTGACTCAGAACAGCATACGTTGTTTACGTCCAGCTGATACTCTCCAAATCATTTTCCAGCAGGATTTGGCACCTGCCCACACTGCCAAAAGCACCAAAAGTTGGTTAAATGACCGTGGTGTTGGTGTGCTTGACTGGCCAGCAAACTCACCAGACCTGAACCCCATAGAGAATCTATGGGGTATTGTCAAGAGGAAAATGAGAAACAAGAGACCAAAAAATGCAGATGAGCTGAAGGCCACTGTCAAAGAAACCTGGGCTTCCATACCACCCCAGCAGTGCCACAAACTGATCACCTCCATGCCACGCCGAATTCTAAGGAATCTAAGCTAACACTAGAGAGAGGTGGAATTCAATACCAGCCTGGGCATCCTTGGGTAGGTGGCGCCGCTCCTCCCAGAATTATGTTGCACCCAGTCATGATGGTCCGCCAGCCCCCCTGGCGTTTCTTCCTATCCGGCTTGCGGGTCTCTTTGGTGGATGATGTTGTTGATGCTGATGAACGGGGATGAGGTGGATGATGAGGTGGTTTGTTGCTAGGGTTGATGACAGCACACTTCTTGGCCTCCACACCACACGACTTGCAGCTCTCGACAAACCTCCAGACGTCGCTGCGGACCGAAGGCCACCTGGCAACTCCCAGGATCTGCAGTAGGGTCTTTAGACGTCCATGGTGTTTCTCTGCTGTCCTCTGGTGGAAGTGCTGTACCATCTGCTGGACCAGCTTCTTAGGGACGACAAGCTGGATTTTGTAGATGTCGTCCCCCTTCTGGATCCGCCGGTACAACCAGCCCTGGTGTTCCCGCACTTTGATCCTGCTGGTCGGTGGAGTGGAGGAAGAGATGGAAAGTCCCTGGAGAGTGCCGTCATCACCCTGTGCGCAGCTGCGTCACACGGATACGCTGTTTTCGTTCAGATCAAATCACAACAACGTAGGAAACAGATCAAGCGTGACGCAGCTGACTCAGAACAGCATACGTTGTTTACGTCCAGCTGATACTCTCCAAAATGGCGCTACAGGGTGATGCGGAGGAGACGAATTGTTGAATAAAGTCGTTATTTTTTTTTATTTTGCGCACAAAAAGTATTCTCGTAGCTTTGTATAATTGCGGATGAACCACTGATGTCACAGATTATTTTACAGATTGCCTTGCTACGTTTCTGGACTTGGGAAGATTTCAGTTGCGTTGCTGTCTATGCAGGGTCAGACAGCTCTCAGATTCCATCAAAAATATCTTAATTTGTGTTCCGAAGATGAACGAAGGACTTACGGGTTTGAAACGACATGAAGGTGACTAGGTGAGTAATTAATGACAGCATTTAAATTTTTGGGTGAACTATCCCTTTAAGGGGATGTGTCACTTTTAGTGTCTGTTTTGGCCTTGGTTGTTTTTACACGTAAGGAATTATATGAAGTGGTTTTGTGAACACTGTTTAATTTATAGAGTCCATGAACTCAAAATTGTTCTTACTGTATTATCAAAGTTGTGCTTCTCAATATATCAATATATAATATTTTTGTATAAACTGTGAAAAACATACAGACACAACTAAACAGGGAGGATCCATGAAAATAAAGATAAAAAGATAATAAAGCTATAATAATAATAAAAACACTATATTGTTCAATTCTTACCATATTCATAATTATGGAAAATGTATTCATTACTATCTACATCTTCTGAAATTTCATCATAAGAGTATACAAACTGATCAGTCACAACACTAAAACCACCTGCCAAATATGTAGGTCTGCTTTGTGCTGCCAAAACAGCTCTGATGTGATGGACTCCACAATACTTCTGAAAGACATTTACGATGTGGGGCCTCCATGGATCGGATTTGTTGGTCCAGAACATCCCATAAGATGCTCAACCCAAGGTTTCCCAGCAGAACTGACTGTTCACTTGCTGCCTAATATATCCCACCTCTTAAAAGGTGCCATTGTAATGATCAGTGTTATTCACTTCACCTTTCAATGGTTTTAATGTTTCTTTTTTATGGTTCAGTAGTATTCCACCAGAAGCCGTACTGAGCATTTAGTATTCTACCCTTCATGTTTTCAAACAGTCGCCTAGGTTACCGACTTCTCATGATAAGAGTGCTAATCTAGGGTGAGTATGCTCCATGAGTGTGGTTATTTAGATTATAGGAATTGATTGTAAATCAACACCATTTCACTGAGAACACGAATATGCTTGGACACAGCTTGTGCTGATGAAGTGATTGTTGATGATTATCTTACATTCTGAAAAAAAAACACACTACTTTTTGCATTTGGATGCAGCTTTGTGGACTGATTATTTTAAGGTATTCTCAACATGTTTATCTCTGCTTACTATAACAGTATAGAATAATTGTGACAGATTGGATTTATACCGTAGATGAGACAACACCACCTTAGACCACACAAACAGATACATTGCCACCTGCTGGACAGAATAGACCTTGTAAATGGCACCTATACACTCCTCAGAAGTCTCTTGACTGTTGTACAGTAGTGATTATTGGGAAAACATTTTTAGGCAATGGCTTTGGTGTTCAAGGACAGCTGACATATTTGGGTATGATTTTTTAACACTATTTTCCAATGATCTTGGAGAAAACCTACTCCAATAATCTTTTTTTTATTTATTTACAACTTAATAACAGAATATAAAATTAAACACACCCATAAATATACATTATTTCTAGCTTTTGACATGTGTGTGTGTGTGTGTGTGTGTGTGTGTTATTTTTTATTTATTTTTTACATATATAATAATACCATTGAATGCTGTTTTAAACACTTCCAAAGGATGTCTTAACTAGCATTATATGTTTAGGTAATATTTATCTAATATTAACCCTCTATCACAATTTAATAGTCATGTTGCTATAATGATCTTTTCTGGTTCTTGGCATGTACATGCATAATTGTCTTTTTATCCTGGAGCAGGAGGATGTAATAATTCACCAATTTGAAAAAAAAAAAAGCTTTTTAGCTAACAGGTTATAAATTATGTAGTGTGTATCACAACTGTAACTGCACAAGACTACAATGCAACCTGTTTATTTATTTGTTTATTTTTATTTATTTTCCTTAAAACAAAAATATATGATATAAACAATATTAAAAAATATTTTCTTAAAGCAGTTTTAAAGTTGTGATGATGTTGATAAGGAAACATACCTCAATAAATAGCCAGGTTTGGGATTAGAGTTACATATTATGTTCTTTAAACACACATTTGACATGAGATTGGCATTTTCCGTGATTGAGTTTTGAGGTCATATTCTCATCAGGAACCTAATAGTATTCCTGTTCCTGAAATCAAATCCACCTGTTCACAGAGCAGAACCAGGTACAATGTCAAATAGAATATGACCTACACACCATTACAGCTAAACAACAAAGCAGTGCCAAATAAAGGGATTTTCAACATTAATCTTTGGATGTTCTCGACGGTTGTTTAATGTGAGCACATAAAAGGCCCTTTGTTAGCTTTTGTGTTCCATACCCCCTTATTAGTTAATGCGAATACAGTCAATGTTTAATCTAGAGGCTGTTTCCTCATGTTATTCAAATTAGTGAAGTGGATCTCATCATAAAAGGGCTGCGAGAAGAATTTCTTTAGTCCTAAAACAGTTCTGCACCAAATATCTATTGGACAGCATGGCTCTGCGAGAGGCAGCACTTTTAGGCATAATCATTGTATTCTCAGGTTAGCTCATCTTGATTAATTTAATAAATTATTGATATAATTTAATCTAATGGATTAAAGTAATATTACATTTAAATGCATGTAATTTTTAATTTAAGTAATTTATTACATTGACTGATTATTATTTATTATCCAGTTATTTTTTATTAAACATTATTTTATTATTATTATCATTATTATTGTTATTGTCGATATTATGTTTTATGTATGGCTAGATGTGGTACAAATCTTGAGGATTTTTTTTTCTGCTTTTATTTACAGGCCACATGCATTCTGTGTTTACAGCTCAAAGTAAGAAAGTATTGCATTTTATCTACTTTAATACATAATTGATCATCTCCAATTATGTTAATAGCATGTCAAATATTTGTCAATATTCCTGGGAAATTATATTTTGTTTTGTTGTGTTTTTTGAGACTGATCACTTGTCACATGTTAAATAAATAAATAAACAAACAAATAAATAAATAAACACCCAAAGAGCTGTTGTCCCAAATAAGATCAATATTTATTTGGGTTCTTTTTTCAGATGTATGTAAGACATATGGCAGTGGCATCTATTATACCTTCAACAAAACTGCGTTTCATCTGAAGACTACATGTCCTGTAACGCTTACACACTTCAGTCATGCTGGAGTGGACTGTCATATCATCATCCAGCGTGGACTGAATGGCCTGATGGACAGAGTGGAGATCATCATAAATAAAGTCACAACCCTCATTCACAATAACACTGCGACTGTGGAAGGCAGCAGGTATGGGATTTATGAGTCACATTTGTGACCAAAATTTAGATTTAAGTTTAAAAGGGTTGTTAATGTTGTCCAAGGAGCTTAAAAATGTTGTAATTATAATATTATATTGTATTTGATTTTAACAATGTTATATTTGACTTAGAATTAAAATCACAGAGTTTTCTGAATTCGGGGTTTGGAGCATGTAAATAAATATGTTGACTACATTTGTAGTATTTATCAATAAAAATGTTGATTGTTAATATATCCGCATAAAATATTTGCTAATCTTTTCACAGTATTTCCCTTCCATACGACCAAACCTATCAGCATGTGTTTCATTATGGAATCTATACCAGGCTCCAAAGCAAAGTTTTGCCAGTGTCTGTCACATGGTACAGTGTAGCTAATGGTGTCAGTTCGCTTTGGGTGAGTTATCATTAAAGACAATGGTCTGCAAGATTACAAAATTCTTTATGTAGTATTGTTGATTTAACCAAAAGAATAAACATATGTGGTTATCACTTTATAACGACCCTGGCCGTATTGTATTTTGTATGTAATCTTTGAGCACATCTCTTGTAGGTGCAACTGGACCAGGATTTAGTGGAGGGTATGAGTGGACTTTGTGGGCACCAAAACAGCTCAGGTGAGTGTGTTCAGTTGTTATGTGCGGTTTAAACAATGAGTTTTGAGATATAATCATAAAATACTTTCTGGTGGTGTTTTATGTTTGCTATTTTGTTTATAGAAACTATGCAGCAACTGATATCCACCAGTATCCTCTCTGATGGACAATGCCTGATACAAGACTCTGTTGTGCAGACAAACACAGTGAGTTTCTGCACAGCTGAACAAAAATAAACTGTATTGTTAATATATATATATAAAACACACAGTAGCAAAATTTTAGGAGTTACTGGACTGAACTTTATGAAAAAATGTATGAAACCAATAAAATGTTTTTTTTTTTTTTTTTACCATAGCATTTTTATAGATTTTATCATTACAATTACTTTCTATTAACTTTCTATGAAGCCTGTACATATAATGCATTATAAAGCTATCCTTAATGCAATAATTTGTGTGTTATGTTTGTGAAATATGCAATGGATTATGAGAAGCTAAAATACTGGCAATAAATATATACAAGGCTCCAAAAATATATTAAAATCCACTGATTGCGTAATTATTATTTTTTTTTTTAGGTTTGTAAAGATCTTTTGTCCCATGCTTACGAATGTCTCGCCACTAAATATCGAACCTACCTGACCCTGTGTTACAAAAATATGAAAGGATTATGGCATCAAGAAGCAAACTGCTCATTTTTTAAAGAGCTCTCGCTTATGTGTGGGAGTTCCAGTCCAGTGTGGTCAGTGTGGAGATCAAAAAGCAACTGCTGTAAGAACCACAGTTTATAATAAGTTAATCAGAAAAGTTATCAAAATCATATATATATATATATATATATATGTATTACAGTGTTATTAATAATACTAATAATTTATCTTGTTTGCAGACCAACCTCACTGTCCTGGAGACTTGCACTATGTAGAGATGGGTCCTGCTTTCCCCCCAACCTGCAGCAACCCACAGAATTATACCACAGAACTCACCAGCACCTGCCTACCTGCCGAAGGTTGGTCCTTGATTAGCAGGAAATATGTTTTTACTTTACTTTACTTCACTTCACTTCACTTCACTTCACTTCACTTCACTGAACAAACCAGTGATGCATTAAATAAAATAAAAAAATGGTGTATTTATTGAATATCTCTTTTATTTCCTATCTTTTTATTTCCTATCTATTTTGTATCACATTTTCTCTCTCTCTCTCTCTCTCTCTCTCTCTCTCTCTCTCTCTCTCTCTCTCTCTCTCTCATAATCACAGGAAAGGTCCTGAATGATCGTGTTGATGGTTACCATTCCATAAATGTGGAGGAATGTCCATGTGTGCATGCAAAGATAATGTATGCACCAGGGCAGGAGCGCCGAACAAAGTGCCAGGCCTGGTAATATTTTTTTTCTTAATAGCTTCCTTTACCAATTCTGGACATGGTAATTATTTGCCAACAACATTTTAAATAATTCCATTGTTACACTTTTGAATTTTTCATTTGAATAATTTACTTAGCACCTTTCTGAACAATTTTAAACGTATTAAAATATTTTTTATTGAAGTATTACTGTATACTGTTACTGTTGTAATCATACAAGAACATACAATCATGCAGGGTTTTTCAAAAGACAACGTTTTTGTACGTAAAAATGTAAGTAAATATTGTGAGCTTTCGATAGAAACTGTGTAAAAAGAAATGTTGAAAACCGCTTGAGACATTTTTTGGTGTTTTTATCCCCACAGTACCTGCATCAGAGGAAATTGGGCATGTTCTAGAAACACATGTCCAGCCAAGTGTATTATTGAAGGCCAGTTCATCACTACATTTGACGGCAAACAGTATTCTATGCTAGACAAATGCACCTTTGTGGCTGCAAGGGTAACTGAAATGGAATATAACACAATTTTTTTTTTTTGCAATGTGATATTTTCAGATTTTCTGATATTAAAATGTCTAATATTTGGTATGTCACCCAGGGGCTTAACTGGACATTGAACATTCAGTATTCCGAGCAAGGTGTTGTCATAGAAAAGGCATATCTTAATATCAACCAGGTTTGTCTATTTTCCTTACCAACACTTGCAGGTTGTTTTCTATGTATATGTATGTGTTGTTGACAAATTTGCAGAGATTTTAAGTGTCTGTTTTTATAAGCTGTAACTGGAAAGGTTTTTGATTACACTTTATTTTAAAGTGACATTGTTAGAGTTTAATTACACAAATAAGTCCTGAGTAATATTAATCAACTACATGTACTTACTATAGGGTTTCGTTTTTAGGGCTAGTTAATTGTAATTATGCATAATCTACTTTTACAGTAAGTGCATGTTACTATGTCACCTTAAAGTAAAGTGTTACCAGGTTTTCACCACCTTCCGACGTCAGAGTCATTTCCCCTATCAACTTAAAGATGTTTTAATTCCAGGAAAGATATACTTTTTCTGCAAACAGCATACAACTGAACAACATAGAAATCAGTGACCTATCACAGACTGGTAGGCTCTTTTAGAATTTGTCATATTAGATTTATACGTTTGAAATATTCATATTACCTTTACTTTACTTAAGTTTGAAACATTAACATTAGCTTTACAAAATTGCTATGTTACTGGCTTTTGTTTCAGAGTCTACCACAGTCTTTTGGCAGTCTTCAATGTTCATTCAAGTTCAGACTTCATTCGGCTTGAAAATGCAAGTTCAAGTCTCTCCAGAAATTCAAATATATCTGAATTTGCCGCCAACCGCAAATACCAAAGGTTTGAATAATCTATATTCATGCAAGCCAACCTCAAGGCACATACAGCAATTTAGCAAAATGTAGTTATATATACAGTAGAATTCAATGAGTCAGTCGAATTTGAATGTTGTTATTAAAGCAAGTGCTTTTATTATAGGTCTTTGTGGAACTTTTAATAATGACACAAGCGATGACTTCACTACTTTTAGTGGTATCATAGAAAGTTCGGTTCAGCTTTTTGCCCGGTCCTGGTCAATGGGCACTTGTACCCTAATTACTGGATGCATCAACACTGAAAATGGTAAGTGTCATTTAGCCTAACTGCTTAACCATATCAAAGTTATTTTCCAAGATAACCACTGATATTCATTCAATTTAAAGAGATATTTGCAGAGGAGAACTGTGACCAACTGACAGATCCAGAAGGAGTGTTTGCCGTGTGTCATGATTATGTACCTGTTTCGCCCTATGTCGAGGCAAGGATATATTCCTATCCATAAACACATTTGATCATTTTGAAATTCATGGTTGTTTTCCTGTTATTAATCTGTTTCTGATTCTTCTCAGGCATGTGTGAAAAGAACATGTCAGTGCTCGACTGCATTACAGGAATGTTTGTGTGTCTCCTTTGGTAACTACGCAAAAGCCTGTGCAACTCAGGGAATCATTGTTGGCGACTGGAGATCAGAAACAAACTGCAGTGAGTCACAAGCTTTTATTCAATGAATGGTTTTCAATTGTATTTCTGTAGGTGCTGCAGATAACTCAGAGGTATTATAAAAAAAATAAATAAAAAAAAACAAGAAAGAAAGGAAAAAAATCTCTCATCATTACAGCAACAGCATCTTTGATTTTCAACTTTTTCCCCCCAAAATGGCTGAAAACGCGTCCTTAGCACAATTAACCAATTTTTCTTCTCCATTTTTTGTGATATATTTACATTTTACTAATAATTATTTGCCTAATTACACTGTAACAACATCACATAAATTATATATATATATATATATATATATATTATTTCTTCTTAATTTTTATTTTGGATTTTTGTATATCATTCCGGGTTTCAGTTCCTTTGTGCATGGGCAACCTGAGGTTTGCTTACTCAGCGTTGGCATGTAACCATACCTGCCGTTCCCTCTCGGGCCCTGATCCCACCTGTGAGGTGGTGGACGACCCTGTGGAGGGGTGTGGATGCACATCAGACTCTCACCTGAGCAACCAACAGACCTGCAGCCCTCGTTCACTGTGCAGCTGCCACCATCCTGGAGGTGTCACACCTCCAGGCCCAGTGGTTATCGGTGGACGCCAGTGGTAAGGGTGAAAACAACTCAGTTCAAAAAATGTTTATGTTATGTTTCTGTAATGTTGAATACATTTTGTATTACAGCTTATGTGAAAATGGACAACTTCATTGTCCTGAAGTTTGCAGTAAGTGAAATCATCTCTTTACATTTGGAAAAAAAACAACAACAACAAAACACAACAACATTAAATTACAGAATACTGAACCAGTGCCTTTTAATGTGTGTATTTAAATATATATATATATATATATATATACATACATAAAACATATATTAAATTGATATATGATATACAGTATATGACTTAATTCATTTATAATGAAAAAATAGATAAGAAAACCTTTTTAGTGTACTTTTAAGTCACTGATCTTTTAGATTTTCAGAATGTTTTTTTTTTCACAAACATCAGTCCTGTTTGCCTGTTGTGGTAATGTTGAGATATTACTGCATGCATAATTCATCAAACTATGTTAAAATAACCAGTCATATACTGTAGTACCGGTGTGTACTTGAGCAGTGTGTAGTTAGTTAGTTCCAGTAATTTGGAAATTCCACGATTCAGTGCCAAAGATATCTATTATGTTCTATTCCTCTTTTCTAGATTGCACAGTGGGAAAGATTTGTGTGGATTGCTCACAAATACCAGTGAACACAGACCATAGGACGTGTGAAAGCTTGACCAAACCTGTAGTAAGCAGTTTTTTATTTTCCAAATTTGGCATTATGACATCTTGCTATATGCTGTTCATACTGTTCATTTTCTGCAATGGTCTGAGTTAAATTGCTGATGTTATTCACAGAGTGATGGCAACAGCTGCATCAGTGGCTGTTATTGTCCGGATGGCCTTTTTGAAGATCATAATGGTGGTTGTGTGACTCATGAAAACTGCACCTGTGAATTCAGCGGGAGAGTGTATGAAACTGGGCAGAGTGTGGAGACAAACTGTAAAAAATGGTAAGAACGGTCTTCTAGCCCTGACCTTGGTTCACAAATTTTAAAGGAATAATTAGAGTTAACCCACCTTCATGTCATTCCAAACCAATAGAGTTTAAAAGGATATATTTTGCAGAATGCACAAGCTGCTCTTTTCCAAACTGGGGAAATAAATGCATAGTGAAGTTATTAAGTTCTTAAAATGACAGCAAAACAAAATCATCATAAAAGTAGTCCTTTCAGCTTGTGTAATATATTTCAAATCTTATAATTTTAAGATAATATTCACTGAAAATCTTCCTCTCCACTATAGCACTCAAATCTCATTCCCGCCTTTACATATTTCAACTTGACACCTCAAGATTCTAAGGGATCACAAGTGTGAATGAAATTTGAGGGCTTAAAGATTGTATCCTTTGAGATACCGTGGCCTACCAAATTACCATTTTATTGGTTCATGGTTCAGTGAAAACCTGACCACTAAATTTGAATGATGTGATTTTGTGTCTCGCAGCACATGTAGAGGTGGTGAGTGGTCTTGTATTGATGAGGCATGCTCAGGAGTATGTGAGGTGTTTGGAAATGGGCAGTATCGCACCTTTGACTCCAAATGGTACAGATTTGATGGCCACTGTCAATACACCCTGGTGAAGGTGAGTGTTTGCAATCTGACAAAGTACTTGTTTCACAAAGATCTTTCTCGAAAGATCCTGACTTAAGTTAATGAACAGCATACTAGTAAAATGTATAAATGTTGCAAAAGCACTCAACAAGTGGGCAAACATTTTTCAACTCTAATATTTATTGTATAAGGATGCTGGTTCAAGTGGGCAGTTTGCAATTAAAACTGAGAGTGTTCCGTGTTGTGACGAATCTTTGACATGTTCCCGTGCCATCTCAGTGGAGCTTCTGGTAAATGATCATCTATGTATATATACATTTTTAAAGTTGTTGGGTGTTGTCAATATTTCAACCTTATATCAAGTGAAAATTATAGTGCACTCAGTAATTATGAAATTGTAAATAGTTGCTCAATGTTTGACAGGGTGCAGTGACTCTGATGTTGAGCGATATGAAGGTAACTGAGAGACTTCAGGCAGGGGACGCATTGCTGGCAGAGCCCCTGTACGCCATCCACACTGTGGGCCTCTACATCATTATCACAGTTCCTGGACTGGGTATCACTGTAATCTGGGACAAACATACCAGGGTCACCATCCAACTAGAGCCTCAGTGGAGAGTAAGAAGTCACATTTAATTTGTTTTATTGTCTAAGATTGATATTCAGTCCTCACATTGTGACCTAATCAGATGTGATTCAAAAACTAACAAGCTGTGAAGTTGATTTCCTACAGCTGCATTATGTATGATCTCTGTCACTCACATTGCCAGAACTCTCGTTGAAAAAGAATGACGCCTGATCGCTTTGTTTCAGCAAATTTCTGATAGTGCGAGCAGCCCTTTTGATTTGACACTCTTCAGGTGAAGTGGGTTACAAGCACAGAACACTGCACAAATTGATTGATTGTTTTGCCGTCATGCCCAACATTCCATGTGAACACAAAAATTGAATAAAGGCTGTGTGGTGCACTTTTTAAGCTGGATGAACACAGTTAATTGGACTTCTATTGGACTATTGAATAATACCACCCATTCACTGCCATTATAAAGCTTGGAAGTGCTAGGACATTTTTTAATTATAAGTCTGATTGCATTCGTCTGAAAGAAGAAAGTCATATACACCTAGGAGGGCTTGAGGGTGATTAAATCATGGGGTAATTTTTATTTTTGGGCGAACTACCCCTTTAAGAACATATCTATCTGATCTCCTCAATAGGGCAAGGTTAGGGATAGAGTGGACATGTAAGGTTAGGACTATGATAGTTTGATAAGAATGTTGGTTCAGGATCAACAAGGAATACAGATCCTGAAACATGTGCTACTGAGTGGTGAAGATATGCAAATGTTCTCTTTCAACTGTGGAACATTAGGGCCGAGTGCTAGGGCTTTGTGGGAACTTTGATGGGAAGGTGACAAACGACCTTCTGACAAGCATCTCCTCAGAAGTTTTCAGTGTTTTGGACTTTGGGAATAGTTGGAAGGCTGCAGCTCCGCCATGCTCAGATGTAACCCATGAAATATTTCCCTGTGAACGACACTCCTACTGTGCAGCCTGGGCACAGCGGCGATGTATGATCCTGAGATCAGACACCTTTATAGATTGCCATCTGAAGGTACCTTACAGTGCCATTAGTTAATTAAATAATGTTATTTTTGATGCTTAATCTTGGCTCATTGACTTTAACTAAATAAAGCACTGTTTCTATATCAAACATTTCTGACCATTAAGTTAATCAAACTCTTTCTGAGTTTGGAAGTAGGTTCAGGTACACAATATACTCACAATACATTTTTTGTCATGAAGAAAGGTGGAACCCATTTTGTACCAGCCAGTAACTGTTGCTGTCTCATGAATACTAGGTGGATCCAGAGCCTTATTACCAGGCCTGTGTTTTGGAGTCCTGTTCTTGTGAGTTTGAGGGAAAGTTTCTCGGCTTTTGTACTGCTGTCTCAGCTTACACAGAGGCGTGCAGTGCAAAGGACGTCTGCATCAACTGGAGAACCCCAGATTTGTGTCGTATGTATTGCATTCTACTATAATTATTGGATTGGACTTTGGAAACAATTAAGCATTTTCCCAGCATGAGCATTTCCTGGTAAAGGCGTACCTGGGTTATTACTGAGTTAGTCAAGTGATTAGAGTGTTTGTTCATCTCCACAGCGGTGTATTGTGACTATTACAATGACGTGGGCCAGTGCACCTGGCATTACAATCCCTGTGGCCAGGTTAAGACCTGTGGCACTAAGAACCGCTTTACAGGAAAACTTGAAGGTATTTTACCCCTTTTTGTTCCTGTTTCTTGATTCTGCTGTTGTACTGCAGTAATTAATCTGAACTGCTAGAAATTAGAAACACAGAAACTATTTAAACATGTTCACCAAACAATGCATGCCATTTCAGGTTGCTACCCAAGATGCCCTGAGGAGACCCCATATTATGACGAAAACTTAGGTAAATGCACCGCTTTGGACAACTGCACTTGCAACTTCATGAACAGAGTGTTTTCACCTCCTGATGAAATGTGTACTTCTTATACATGCTGGTAAGCCATTTTGTAGACTCTTGTTGTAATGATGGAAAGAAAATTAAAGATAAAACGTTTATTTTTATAAATGTTTTTATAAATGTATAAAACTACAGACTTAACATTAATTAGTTTGTATTCTTTTTGCTTAGTAAATGCCTTGATGGACAAATTGTCTGCACTCCTACATTTACATCTACAACAACGACTACAATTTATTACACATCAACATCTCAGCCATCTACAACAATAACCCAGACAGCCACAACACAACCACCAACAACTCAGAGCACAACACAATACATAAAACCAACAACAGAATACACAACGAAGTCAACAACTGAGAAGACAAAAGAATCTACAACTCCAGTTAAAGACACAACTACAACACAGCTAATAACAGCTGTGAGCACAACAGAATACAAAACCACAACACAACCACCAACCTCACAGAGCACAAAGGAATACACAACACAACTATCAACTACAGAGAGAACAACAGAATATACAACCACAACACATTCATCAATGACTAAAAGTATAACAGAATCATATACAACTCCAGTGGAAGAAACAAACACAACACAACCACCACCAACCGAGAGCACAACAGAACACAGAATTACAACACATCCACCAACAACTGAAAGTACAACAGAATCATATACAACTCCAGTGGAAGAAACAACCACAACACAACCACGACCAACCGAGAGCACAACAGAACACAGAATTACAACACATCCACCAATAACTGAAAGTACAACAGAATCATATACAACTCCAGTGGAAGAAACAACCACAACACAACCACCACCAACTGAGAGCACAACAGAGCACAGAATCACAACACATCCACCAACAACTGAAATTATAACAGAAGCATATACAACTCCAGTGGAAGAAACAACCACAACACAACCACCACCAACCGAGAGCACAACAGAACACAGAACCACAACACATCCACCAACAACTGAAAGTACAACAGAATCATATACAACTCCAGTGGAAGAAACAACCACAACACAACCACCACCAACCGAGAGCACAACAGAACACAGAACCACAACACATCCACCAACAAGTGAAAGTACAACAGAATCATATACAACTCCAGTGGAAGAAACAACCACAACACAACCACCACCAACCGAGAGCACAACAGAACACAGAACCACAACACATCCACCAACAACTGAAAGTACAACAGAATCATATACAACTCCAGTGGAAGAAACAACCACAACACAACCACCACCAACCGAGAGCACAACAGAACACAGAACCACAACACATCCACCAACAACTGAAAGTACAACAGAATCATATACAACTCCAGTGGAAGAAACAACCACAACACAACCACCACCAACCGAGAGCACAACAGAACACAGAACCACAACACATCCACCAACAACTGAAAGTACAACAGAATCATATACAACTCCAGTGGAAGAAACAACCACAACACAACCACCACCAACCGAGAGCACAACAGAACACAGAACCACAACACGTCCATCAATAACTGAAAGTACAACAGAATCATATACAACTCCAGTTGAAGAAACAACCACAACACAACCACCACCAACCGAGAGCACAACAGAACATAGAACCACAACACGTCCATCAACAACTGGAAGTACAACAGAATCATATACAACTCCAGTTGAAGAAACAACCACAACACAACCACCACCAACCGAGAGCACAACAGAACACAGAACCAAAACACGTCCATCAACAACTGAAAGTACAACAGAATCATATACAACTCCCATGGAAGAAACAACAACACAGCCACCAATTTTACAGAGCACAACAGAATACACAACCCAACAATCAACAACAAAGAGGACAACAGAATCAGATACAACTCCATTGGAAGAAACAACCACAACACAATCACCAACTTCAGAAAGTACAACAGAATACACAACACAAGTACCAACAACTGAGGGCACAACAGAATATAAAACCACAATACAACCACCAACAAGTGAGAGCACAACTCAACCAACATCAACGAAACAATACACAACCACAACTCAGGCAACTACTGAAACTACAACCTCAGTCAAATATAGCACTTCAGTTTCAACAGTGTCCACAACAGGTATGAAAGCCACTACAAATATAAACTTGTGCTAGAATGAGCATTTAAACAATGTTTTCTTGAAATATACCACCAGTAATATCATAATAAACACAAAGTGGCAAAACATTCTGAATGTGCTAAAAAAAAACTGCCACGCAAACTTATTTTGTTCTTACGTTTTTTTTTGTTTTTTTGTTTTCATTCCCACTAGAATTAATAATAGTCACTGGCCCTGTTACCACCAATCTAACTCCAAGGTCACCTCAAAAACTGTATACGACTATTAATCCTACAATTACGACCGCTTCTATGACATCTGTACTCAGTACTACAATACCTACCACTGAACACACAACTCCAGGTAATAGTACTAGTAATTGAACTCACAAATACACTACTACATGATAACATAACCCCAGGGCTTACTACTGCTTAAATGACAGATCTTATGTTTATGTCTTTTTTTTTTAATTAGTGTGTGAGTGTAAAGATGTGATGAGAAATCAAAGCTGGTCGTGTGGAGAAACTTGGAGAGAGAATTGTGCTGATAAAGTCTGTAAGGCTGGAGTGATTGAGGTAAAATCTATTACTTGTCCAACACCCACAATCAGGACTTATTGCCCAGGAAACAAGATGTCTTTGGTCAAAGATAAAGAGACTTGCTGCGAGAGCTGGGAGTGTGATTGTAAGTAAACTGACTAATAATGACTAAACCAGATTACCTGATTAGTTAGTAGTGTGGCTATATGTTTGTCTAGCCTAGTGGTTCTCAATTCCAGTCCTATTTTGCACATCTATATTATTTATCACAACTGATTCAGATCATCAGCTCGTTAGAAGAGAGCTCCGTGCATGAACTGTGTTCCAATTGACAAGGTCCCTACACAGTGTTAATTGCTCCCTACTCTCTGAGCATGGGAAATCCATTGACGTTTACTTCACTTTGGAACATTCATTCATGGTTTTGCACTACGCCAATGCCTGCAGCATCTTCACACACAGACTAAACTTACTAGAGAAGTGTGATTTTAATTGAAATTCACGTCATGCACACTTTAATGCCGTTTGAATGGTACATATACACTCCCTTCGAAATGGTCGAATAGAACAAACATCTAAAGTAATAAGAGATACATACAAAACGTACGAGGACTGGAATTGAGAATCACTGGTCTAGCCAATTGAAAATAAAAAGGGGCATTGGGAAATTAATTAGATGAATTAATTTATTTATTTTACAAACTTTTAGAAATGTTTGTATCATTTTGCTTCAACATCAACTTTGATCTGTTTTCGTTCTCAGGCCAGTGTCAGGTTTATGGAGACCCACACTACATCTCCTTCCAGGGGATCGCATTTGACTTCATGGACAACTGCACACACACTCTAGTGGAGGAGCAAGTACTGCAGCACCGATTAAGCATTACTGTAGACAACTACTACTGTGTGCCGGAAATTGATAATTCCTGTTCTAGGGGAATCACATTAAAGTACTGGAATGACATTGCCACACTTATGGTAACAGAGGAGTTCACGGTAGAGGTAGGTTTCTAATGACATTTAAAAATATGCTATTCTACTAATGTACTAATGTATTAGTGTCACAGAGCCATACATTTGATTATGTATATTTGATATTATCAATACCAAATTACATATACTATTATTTTTTAACCAAACATCTCTGAATGTTCAAAGAAAATAAACTCAACTCAAGCTCAAGAAACTCTAATATCTAACAATAAAATTGATTTTTGCCCCAAACCCACAGTTCTCTGCTGGTCTATTTCTGTGAATGACTGGGGATGATAGTTCCCTTGAGCTTTGATGATAAGCAGATTGTCTCTATCTTTTTCCAGTCTACTTTGAACCAGGAGATTATAAGACCACCATATGAAGATCAGGTCTTCAAGTTTGAAAGCAGTGGTAGCCAGGTCTACATGTACATCAAGCCTATCCGTTCCTATGTTTCTCTCACACCTTTCAACAATCTGTTAATCAACCTGGCAATGGAGCACTTCCAAAACAACACCCAAGGACAGTGTGGTACGCCATTAAAATCATTTAACCTTTGATGGAAAGTAATTGGCACATTAGACAATGTATGGTTCATGGTACATATGATATCACAGACTTTAAAGAAATTGTTTTATGGCACTCATTCTCCATTTGACTTCATAGGTGTTTGTGGTGGGCAGTCGTGCATACGAAGAAATGGTGTAGTTGAAGATGACAACTGCTGTGATAAGACTGCATATGATTGGGTTGTAGAAGACCCTCTGAAACCCTACTGCAAATCTGCACTCATCAGTGTTCCTTGTGTCCCTACCTCGGCACCTCCACCTCCACCTTCCTGCAATCCTACAATATGCGACCTCCTTCACCATGAGTAAGCCACTGTTGGATATTTTTAAATCCACTGAGGTCAATAAGCATAACAGCTCGGTTATGGAAATAAAAAAAAAGTTTGTTTTTTTCATAGAAAATGAAAAACAACTTGATGATTTTTTTGGCTTGTTGCATTGTAATAATTGGTGCTAACATCTTTTACTCAGAGTGTTTCTGAAGTGTGGTGAAACGATCAATCTTATGGCTGTGGAGAAGAATTGCCGGTTTGACTACTGTTCATACAATAGTCGTGTTGGTGCCTGTTCCTCTCTGGAGTATGCAGCATCAGAGTGCAAAAGGATTGGTATTTGTGTGGACTGGAGATACCTTACCAATGGCTCCTGTGGTAAGAAAACTGTATGAAAGCACAGTAGCACGCTTATATTTTTGTACATTTGTGTACTGATGTCTACAACATATCAACATCATCTTAAAACCTAATAGTTTACGTATATACATGTTTAAAGACCTGCAAGTCT